TCGTCGGTTTTCCCGGTAAATGAGCATCAAATGGAGCATGCCTGGGTCAGTGTTTGTGCAGAAAATTGCAAGATAATTGTTGGTGCCGTATACATACCCCTGGACAAATCTAGCGATGTGCAAGTTGTTAAGCGTCACACTGCCTGCTTGGACTATGTTACATCTACACTGAACACGGATGATATAATCTTTGTTTTCGGTGACTATAACGTGCCAGGACTAAAATGGAGCAATTTGGCAGAGGCGTTTCTCACGGTTGACGTTAATAAATCGTGCATCACTCGATCAGGTGCAGCGTTGCCCGACGGTATAAACTCCAGTAATATGCGGCAAATAAATGGCTTTGCTAATCGCCACGGCAACATATTGGACCTATCGTTTGTCAGTGAAACACTCGACGGTGCCTTTTCCATTGACAGTGTAGACGACCCGCTCGTTGCTATCGATGTTTGCCATCCCCCGTTCGTAGTCACCTTGAATGACAGCTTTTCCATGCGTTTCGAAAATGACGACTTCGACTACCAGGCCTACAACTTTGCTAAAGCTGACTTCCTACGATTGTTGACGTTATTGAGTGAGGTTGATTGGTCGCCTGTCAGGAGCTGTTTGGATATCGACACAGCCGTTCACTTTTTTGCCGTTTTTGTCCGCCAAGCAATAGATCAATGTGTACCGCTACATCGCCCACCAATGATGCCCCCGTGGTCAAACAAGGAACTGAAAAGAAGGAAAAAGCATTGCAAACTCACACACAGGACTTACCGCAGATCTCGTTCTCTTTCAGACAAACTAGTCTTCCATACAGCTAGTCGGCGATACAGGAGGTTGAATGGCAAACTCTACCGCAAATACGCCAGTGGAATCGAAAGGAACCTCAAGCGAAATCCTAAATGTTTCTGGAATTTTGTTAATTCAAAGCGAAAGGAAACTGGTCTTCCAACTTCTATGTCCTTAGATCAGAAAGTAGCACACACTAGCTCGGAAAAGTGTGGACTTTTTGCGGAGTTTTTCCGTTCCGTTTTTGAAGGCTCGCCTGTGAATGAGGATGCTGCTGATCCCCTTGACTTCACTCCAACTGACGTGATTGAGCTGGATACCTTTGAGATTTCAGCAGAAGATTTCATCAAGGCTGTCAAAAAACTGAAGTCGTCGAACAATCCTGGCCCTGATGGAATTCCTGCATGTGTCATAAAAAAATGCTCCGTTCAACTACTGGAACCACTGCTGTGCATCTTCAACCTGTCCATGAGCGTGGCCAAGTTTCCAACAGACTGGAAGTCGTCCTTTATGTTTCCTGTTCATAAGAAGGGTAGCAAAACTGATCTCAGCTGTTACCGTGGAATAACGTCCCTCTGTGCTTGCTCAAAATTGCTCGAAATTATCATCTCCAACTATATGTTCAACAGAACAAAAAGTCACATATCTACTAATCAGCATGGGTTTTTCCCCGGAAGAAGTGTAACCACAAACGTCACTGAGTTCACTTCGATCTGTCTTCGAAATATTGGGCAGGGAAAGCAAGTAGATACAATATACACTGACTTGAAAGCTGCATTTGACCGGGTCAACCACTCCATTCTTCTGGCTAAACTACGCAAGATGGGCTCATCTGCCAATTTCGTTCAATGGCTCGAATCATATCTCTGCAACAGGACTCTTGCAGTAAAGATTGGATCTTCAACTTCTGACTGGTTCTGCAATACCTCCGGTGTACCTCAAGGAAGTAACTTGGGACCGTTGCTATTTTCGCTGTACATCAATGACGCAACTGTGCTTCTGGAAAATGGATGTTACTTTATTTATGCTGATGATACAAAAATCTATGTGATCGTTGAAAACGAAGACGACTGTCTGCGACTCCAGGAGGCACTGGACAAGTTTGCATTGTGGTGTCGTGCCAACAATATGACCCTCAGCGTACCTAAATGCCACGTCATTAGCTTCCACCGCAAGAAAAATTTCCTTCAATATGAATATGTCATCGACGGAACCACCCTATCACGCGTGCAGACAGTGCGTGATCTTGGAATTACATTGGACTCAAGTCTCACGTTCAGGAACCACCACGAAGATGTTATTGCGAAGGCACGACGGCACCTTGGTTTCATTGGAAAGGTGACAAAGGAGTTTCAAGATCCTTACACATTGAAATCGCTGTATGTTAGTCTTGTTCGTCCAATTCTCGAGACAGGCTGTATTATATGGGATCCGTTTCATATTACCGTGATCGATCGCATAGAGGCCGTTCAGCGCAAATTTGTGCGATACGCTCTTCGCAACTTACCGTGGAATGACCCGGTTAATCTGCCACCCTACGAGAATAGATGCCAACTACTGGGATTGGAAATGCTGGAACAAAGGAGGAAGAACGCGAAAGCTGTATTTGTAGCGAAACTACTGAACGCCGAACTTGATGCACCGAATCTTCTTGCTCTCATCGACATTAACATTCCCGGCTATGCACTCAGGAATACCGAATTTCTCCGCTTACCACGCTGGCGACAGGACAACGACGGTAACGAGCTAGTACGTGCAGTCATGCGCAATTTCAACGATGTTTATAATTTGACGACTTCAATGAAAACTCTGTTCAATTTCGCTCAAGGCTAAGAAGAATGAATTGATGTTGATGCTAAGAATTATTCATTAAGACAACAAATTGTCGGATGAAGATATCAAAGTAATAAATAAATAAAAAAAATAAATTCATTTGGTGAGTACGTTCCTGTTTATTTATTCACCTGTTTTGGTACCTTTCATCAGTTTTCTACAACTTTATCTTAGACATCTTTCGAAGAGCTGCTTCGTGCTGTAATTTGTTGAGTAATGTCAATCGCGCTATTTTCAAAGGTTGAGAACGAGTGAGAATGGCCAATTTCTAGTAAATATTTGCCAATTGGCTCATTCCGCAAGAGAGTTATCCTAGTGCTTTACATTCTGATTTTAGACGTTTGATGTCTTCAATAATGTTTTTGTTCTTGAAAGTTCCCTTTTTGTGATCATGATGGGTCTGAATTAGGGCAAATGATGGCTTCGGCCGCCATTGACTGTTTTCGGGAACCAAAGTTTAAACGTTAATTTCCTTAGTCTTTCAGCTTCAATCTGATTGCATTTTTCAACTGAGCAAACTTTTATGTCAGGTAGTTCCTCAAATAAAAATATACGCACTACAAATCAAGGCTGCTTTCGAGTTGCTCAGAGTTGATAATAGAAGAGCTACGCAGACTGAAACCAAAATCTACCTATCGAACTGTCAAACCGTCTACCTATCGAGCAGTAGACAAACTGCCTCTTTTGCGTGGGAAGTATTGTTATCGAAACTAGAGGAAACTTTCACAACCCTGGTGAAGTCATCGGATGTGTAAACAAAAACAAAGGTTGCCAAAATAAATAAAAAAAATCCCACTGATCGACATCAGTGTTGCAGGCTTCGCTCTGCGTAACTCTTCTATTATTAACTCTGGAGTTGCTGAAAATAGAACAGCTGGTTAAAACGCAGTTAAAATAGACTTCTGACAATAGTCACACTCACGTGAGAGGTTTGGAGCGTTGTAAAAACTTTTAAAATCTATATTAAACAATTATGTCGATTGGAATGGATAGAATAGGAAGCAGTAGATAAACGTAAACAAACAAACATGTATTTTTTGAGCATGACGCTCAGAAATTGTTAATAGAAGTTCGAACGCTGCTTAGATTGACTAGTTTGGAAATAGCCTGCAAAAGTCTTTGAATAGTATTTAATTCAACAGCAGGACAGTAGGAGTACAAAATTATAAAATTGGATGCGATCTTTTCTTTATTTTCATATGCATGTAGGATATATGTATGTAATGTTAGCCTAAATGCCCCTAATTTGGTCCTGTACATAAATTCAACTATCGACCAAAGTTTCATTAGCGACCAAAAATATCCATTTGTACTGTCCCAAAAATTGAGCAATAGCAGATTTTTAGCGATGAGCACAATCTTAGATCGATAGGCCAACATTAGAGCCATTTCCCCTACGTATGTTTTTTAATATATAATATATTGTCGTTCTATTTCTCTCAACTAAAATCTAGTTCTCATCTCTTCGTGTTAAGCGTTGAGAAATTTCGCGTGGTTGTATTAAGCTCACAAAAGGAAAAATTCGCGAGTAAGTTTACGCGAACTTTTTTCTGTAAATTGATTAGAGACTCACTTTTTCTCAGTTTTCATACAAGGGATGATACAACTTGGGTTCTTTCCTTCGTTTCCTTTTTTTTCATTATTCTCTAAAGCGAGCAATGGCGCTATAATCATAACATAACATAGAGTTAGTGCTCATGTCCCCCGACCACTAGAGGAAAATGGAGCATCATTTATCCTTTTTAGACTAGATGCTCCCAACGACCAATCATTTATCGATAACAATATAACGGAAAGTACGGTACGAGATGTCCACGTTTCATCCATTTATTTGATTGTGAAGCATCATGTTTAAATATTTGATTTAAATAGGCCCGATGTTTCTGAATCATCTTGCCCCTTAAATGCTGCACAGTAGGCCTGGCCGTTTTGATACATTTTGCGCATCTCAGATGTGCAGCATATATCAAATAGACAAGAAAAATTATGGAGTGCTTTCATGAACTGTCTGTGATGGTGTTAGATTAGATTAGATAAGTTTCCACATTTCGGTGCATCTCGGTATACACTTTTTTTGTAAGAAAGAAAGAAAAATCATTTATTATAAATATGAATGTGTTTTTTAAAAATGATTTTTGAAATATTTCCAGGAAAAAATCAACAAACTTGTTAGATTTATTGGGATACTTTTATTTTATTTTCCACTTATACCATGTTCAATTAATAGTAATTCTTATTTCTTGATGAGTTTTCAGAGAACAAGTATTATTTCTGAGCCGAACAATACATCGTTGGGCGTGAACAAGGTAATACAGTATTACTCTAACAGTTTAATAATTTAATTAGTCGTATAGTTAGTCTATATACACATCTTCTAGCATCTCATCAAGCTACCGGCAAACGCCCTTCAGTTGACCGTACATAGTCTTCATGGCTCCGATGACTGTCAGCACAACAACAACCGATGAGAAAACAGTCAGCATGTTTGCATTCTCCGCTGTTTGCAACCTCCTCGGAGAATATTCCAGCATCAATGAAACCATACCTGAGAGGGCAGAAAGAATTTTCATAATTTGTTACCCCCGTGAAAGTTGATGAACCATACCAACAACGAACGCCACGATTCCGCATAGATAGTGAGTCAACTTGATGTAGACGGGCTTGATAATGTGTCTGATTTTCACAGCGTACAGCGACGCCAATCCGTTCAACATTGACAAGCATATGAACACCATTGAAACTAAGCCTGTAATCAAACAAAAAAGGCCCATTCAATGTCCAATCGTATAATCCCATCGGGCGTGCTTCCTACACACTTCCTAAAGCACTTGATTCACACTTACCGGTTATCGCATGGTCGGACTTGAAGTGGCTACGCTTCGCATCGTCTTTGTCTTTGATTTCGATTCCGATACCGACAAAAATCGCAATACAGCCTATGAGCTGCAGCATCCAATGTAGGCGTCGTTTTGTATCAATTGCATTCTGCATCGTCCACGAGTTGGACGAGTAAAGTGTCAGGAACGATTCCGCCATAAAGAAGTGGTACTGGGAATTGAAACTCGTTAGTTGACACATTCACTAGTTTTCGGTTCAACTTTAAAACATACACCAACTGCACAAAGAAACATATGCCATGTTAGAACACCTTTGAACCCATTCAGGTAGGTCAAGTACGATAAATAGATTGTAACGTATCCTATGAGCATGTGATTTATGGTATTGAATAGAGCTTCAACGTATTTCACAACCGATTCCACGGAATTCTGCTCGGGTTTGTCGGTTCCGGCCATTTTGAATGCGATTCAGTCAACTACTTACTGTTGGCGATTCGCCTTCGGATCATCCTTTTTATAAAATCGTTGCACTTGGCGCTATCGAAGTTGTACCATGCCGATACCGATCTGAAGCTGGCATAGAATACACGCCGCAAAATTATATACAGTACACAGTAGGCTGGTTCAATACGAAAATTCCAATGTTCTACTGGGCACCCTCCAGGTGAGAAAACCACTCTCTGAAAGTTTCAGTTCATTTTGTTGTAATACGAGTTTATATGGGGTAAAGTTTATATGGGGTATTTGGTCAAAATGTATGAGAAAATGACAATCCTTCACTCTTCGGATGATTGAAATGGTTTATTATACTCGATTTATCTCAGAACTTCAGAGCTTCTAGGATGAACATTAAGAAATAACTTTGCTGAAGACTCTATCACGATTCATGACAGTTTACAGACAGACAGACAGACAAAGTCCATTGAATATTTTCACTGTAAAACATCGTCACTAAAACACTACCGCCATCTGACGAGTATACTATGATGGGGAATTGACTAAGCACGCCCCAGGTGGTGGTACTACCAACTTAAAAACATTTAAATTGACCGCTAAATGCGTGTTTGATGAGCAACTTGCCAGAGTTATGTCGATTTGTCTGTGGTTTTATTTAGATTTTTGCATTTGGCTGTATGAGTGAATAGTACTCAAACACAATTTTACCAAAGCTGTTTCTAGCTAGCTACAATCCCGGAAATTCTGAGCTAAATCGAGTATAATGATACTTAAACTTTGAACCAAAAGCGCCAACTCGTGTTACAATCAAATGGAATTCCAGAAAATGGGCACCCCGTTGAAAAAAATCCTCCCGTATAAATTCGGGCCAGTCTAGTACACAGCTTATCATGTCTAGCCACAATCATCGGTAGCAGTCGAGACGCTACGAAAGCCGAATTTTGCAGATGATGCGTTTTATTGCGCAATGGGAAATCCGTGACGTAGAGTTATCGAGGAATATCTACTGCCAGTAGTAAATCCAAGCTAGTCAATAAAATGAGAAACGTCGATAGTAGTAAAGTGCCGAGATTTATGAACTGGAGCGATTTCATATACACCCGCCTGGGCACACGTGGGCTGACCGATTTAGAATCTAAAGCTTAACTCGATAAGTGTAACGCCGTATTGAAAACACCCAAAATCACTTATTTGCATTGCAGACGCCAGGATTCTTAGTTTTTTTTTATTAACTTTAAATTTGGTTCAGTTAGGAAGCACAATTTATTGTGTATCCCCGGTTGAGGATTTTTTTGACATCGGCGTCGCAAATCAGCGCTAAAAATCATAAAACGTAGATTTTCGTAGATTGGCCAAATCTACCGAGTACGATGTGCCTGAGGAGATATCTCCGGCAGTACATTTTTGCTGATAAATCTGCACGTACACTCATGATCTGACAAGAAATTTGGAGCTGCAGTTTACTAAAAAGACAAAAATGTTTGCGCCTTAACTGTTAGTTCGAAGTGTATGGTGTCTTCGGGACATTTTTATGCATGTGAAATTAGGGTGGTCCCTATGGTTATGAAGTTCATAAAACGAACTATTTTGTTATTCGAGGCGGTGGTATAGTGGTAAGCGTCATTGCCCCTCACCTAAAATGGCCTGAGTTCAATCCCAGTCGGCGCCGCCGGAATTTTCTGAGGCATAAAATCTCTGATCACGCCTTCCATCGGAAGGGAAGTAAAGCATTGGTACTCAGTACAGAAAACAAATTAAATTGTTGATGGCAGTAGTGTGTAAACGTCAAACGCAAGGAAATTGACTAGGCGCGCTACGGGTGGCGGTACTACGAACTAAGATACTTTTAAGTTTACCGTTAAATGCTTGTTTGATGAACAACGTACAAGTGTTATATCTGCTTGTCTGTGCTTAAAGTGTGCCTTTTGTTTTCGAGATCTTATGTTGCGCTCTTCAACAATTCATCTTGCAGCTATTGAATAGAAGCATCGAACCAAACGTTTGTTTGACACGTTCATGCCGAATTCATATATATATTTGATGTTTTGTGCTCGCTAGACCGGGAACGGGCAATTAAGCCGAAATAGATTTTTTCCCTATCTGTGCTCTTTTCGACGAACGTGGAAGTGGTACGAAAATACAAACAATCGAATAAATTTAATTAAAATAGGTATTAGACTCATGAAAAATTTGAAATTTTCGCTCCACAGTGCTTAAACGGTTCCAAATCGGGTCCTGGTTAACCTCCCAAAATTTGAACTACTTTAGTAAGAAACTGACTTGGCACAAACCATTTCAAGTTTATATGGGAATTACTATGGGAAAACTTATGTTTTGTTCATATGTATCTAAAAATTCACCACATCAGTATGCTTTTGAAAATGAAAAAAGTGATTGTAGCAAATTTTCTTAGCTACAACTTTGTTCAAAACCACTTTTCAATCAAATGTAAGGAACCAAAGTTATTAATGATTCAATTGTCTTATGATTATGCTCATTCAACTGTTCAGCAGGCAACATTGGTGTTTCTGGTGCGAAGAATAGAGCACAAATATCATGGCTACTATGTCACACTGCAGAATACAGTGTTGCCCACAGAACAGCTGCTTGATCATGCCATAAGATTAGTAATCTCTTAAACAATTAATAACAATTTAATATGACATTTGACTGAAAAAAGCAATATGGAAAATGGGTAGAAGACAATGAACAAAAAGTTTGGTTTTCCCACAGTAATTTCCATATAAACTCCGAATAGTTTGTGCCAAGGCAGTTTCTTTCCAAAAGAGTTTAAATTTTGGGAGGCTAATCAGGACCTGAGTTGAAACCGTTTGAGCACTGTGGAGCGAAAATTTCAAATTTTGCATCAGTCTAATAGGTATATAGATTGGTAAACGCATTTCGTAATAATTTGGAAATGTTTGCACATGTTTATAGCTATAGGGAAAAACGGGGTAAACGGACACCCTGGGAAATATGGCCACCCTTTAGATTATTGAAACAATCGACTATTTAAAAAATATTGATGTAGCACAGCAAAAACAAATGTTTTATCGATCAGGCTGAAAGCCTTCCTAATAAAGATAAATTAATTAATTGTATTATCGATCATTGTAATTCAAGCTGATGTATGAAATAATGATGTAATAGCAAAAAGCAGATACAATATTACATCAATGGATGTAATTTTGTTCGCAAAATCGATATACATCGTACAACGTTACATTACACAACCGATCGATTGACATGGTTCAGCAGTTTGGATGTAATATTCATCAACTTTTTTTTCTGTGTGCCGCTCATGGCTCAAATCAGCAAGCCGAGAAAAACGCTTTTGAAGTTTACCTGGTACCATTGTCCAGGGAATCGAAATCAACGATTCAGATAAAGATAATGTCATTCTCATTTTGGGTACAGTCATGATCAGAATAATCCCGAAAATCCCAACGGACAGTTCTGAAACGATAGTGCGATTATCATTTGTTACAGATCATGATCGTATGAAAAACCGATAATCTCCAATCATCATCATCAACTGTCACCACTGACAGTGTTCACTCGGCTGTCGACAGAAGCAGACCACTCTCGATGTGTGTCACGCGATCGTCTGTTTACTCGGCAGCAACCATTGTGTGGCAGGGTTGCTTCCACTCACTTGCTATAAAAAAAATGATTGTTTGAATTTTGAAACCATTCGATGTTATAATGGTATGTTGTACTTGTTAGATACAAGAAGCGGATGAAAGGCAAGTGTTTGACTCATAAAACCTGTCAATTTTGCTACCAGAGTGTTACTATAAGCGATTTTATGATTCCTGAGCGTTCACTCAGAGTGAGAGCTCGCGAGTCGTAAAATCGCTGATTGTGACTATCTGAAAGTGGATTTAACAGGTTTCATGTGACAAATACTTGCCTTTCAACTTCTTCTTGTATCTAACAAATACAAAATATGATTATAATATCAAATGATTTCAAAATTCAGAAAATCATGTTTTTATAGTAAGTGAGTGGAAGCAAGCCTGTTGTGTAGTCCTCCTCATTGTTCTTCATCAGCAGTTCTTTCAGTCGATGCGTCGTCGACTTTGGAATGCAGCCGTTTGGTGATGAATGTGTGAGTGCTGACCACGTTTTGCGTCCATTGCTGCAATGGAAGCGCTCTGACTCCCATTGGTGAATCTGCCATACATTGAAACCACTGGAAGCGGCTCCCGTTCTGGTGGAGGAGGCTCTGTAAAGTTGATTCGGTTGAGCCTTTTCAAATAAATTAATAAACAAAAACCCTATAAGACGAAAAAAATAAAAATAAAATCTATAAAATGGGTATTTTCGGGACGGGGATGACGCGAAGTGATTGAAAATCGATGTCCGCCGTCATTTTTTAATTCAAGATGGTGGTCATCGATTGCAGAAAAACTGTCAAATATCTTGCAATTGGGTATTTTCAGAAAAGGGATGACATGCAGATGTATAAAATTGATGTATTCCGTCATTTTGGAATCCAAGATTCCTGCAATTGGCTTTAGAAACAAACTGTATCTAAAATAGGGTATTTTTTTAACCGGAACGACGTGTAGATGTCGAAAATCGATTTTCGCCACCATTTTGATTAGTTTATTGGCAGTTTTCTCTTAAGCGATTGGCCGCCATCTTGGATTCAAAAATATTGGCAGACTTCGATTTTCGACCTCTACACGTTATTCCGGTTCTAAAAATACCCATATTATGGATTTCAAAATGGCAGCTGACATCAATTTCCAACATTGTACATGTTCATCCCAGTTCGTAAATACCAATATTGTAGAGTGTTTGACCGGCGGCGGATATTTATTTTCGACATCTACGTGGCATCCCGGTTCCAATACTATCCATATTATAGGGTATTTGGCTACGCCTATGGTTGATCCTCAAGGTTGAAACTAGATGCAGTAAACAGAGTTGCGACCTATCACAATCACGATCGTCAAACAGCTGATGGTAGTAACGCTTAGTACATTGCTATC